ATATACATATATTTGAGTGCATACGTACGTATATACACATAATATTAAAAACTATAATATATGTACATGCACATACATGGGTACATAGAAACATAATCACAGATGTACATATATATGTATATATATATAGCACTTAAAAATTGATACAAATATATATAAACATTTGCAAATAGACATAAACACACACACACACATATATATATATATATATATATATGTATATGTGTGTGTGTGTGTGTGCATGTACATATATGTATGCATATATATTTATATTTTCACACACACGTACACACACACACATATATATATATATATATTTATGTATATCGCCTATATACAAATATATATATATATATGTGTGTGTATATATATATCGTTAGAAGAATGCAATAGACGTCAAGGAATTGTAGAGACATAACCTATGGCACTGGGCCAAATCGCGATGACTGGGGGACATCAGGCATATATCCCACTGTATAAAATATTCGAGATGCTTAACAAGCACAGACGCGCTATCACATTTATGCAGTTGGAGCTGTGTAAGAGATCAATGCGGACAACTCACAAGACGTGTAGGTGGAATTAACTATATACGTGCAAAAATGGTCGAATTCGACATGAACACTTCGAATCATAATATGTGCACCTAATATAGATTGAGTAGATACAGTGAACATGAATACCATACCATTCATCTGGGTCTATATATATACGAACATGGTGCAGTCAAACAGATCACTAACCTGGGTATCTACAGTTGACTTGTGGCTGGCAGGGTCTAATCTCAATTTTTTTGCGCGTTTTGTGTTCTCCTTAACCTCATCCTTGGGTGCCTTTCTTTTGTTTATATTCACTCCATACTTCACCCAGCCCCCACTTTTGCTACCATCATCCTGACTGCTCAACAGATAGTATTTGGCTGGGATCTGGTTTATAAGTGCATTAAAATGCTTACTGTGTGCAATGATACGAGCGGTTTGCTCATTCACTTGGCTCATATTGCCTGCTGATTGCGTGTGAGCGTTGTTCAGAGAATCTGCGGTGGGGGTGGGGACGGATGAGACCATAGTCGCTAGGGCCATAACTTAGTTGCTGTAGGTTAATGTATTTAAATCCAGTTGTATATATTGTATGAATTCAAGTACGGTGCTCTTGGCGAATACATACACAGCCTAGGCTAGTCGCAGGCGTATCCTTTTGTCGTTTAGACTCAATCTTTAAAAAAAATCAATTACACATTCCATTATTTTGTCATGTGTAATTTACTACACAAAACGTACACGTGCTTGAAATCATCAATATTGTTGTTTATCACAAGATTTTTTTTTCCTTCAAACTCCATAAAACCCGGTTCAGAAATTGAACAAAAACCAAAACAAACTAGGTTCTCAAATTAAGCTAAAACCCGAAAATTTTCCATCTAAATAAAAGTGTTTATTTTTCGCCTTTTATTAATTTAAAAAAAAACCCCTAACAACGGAAGACAAAAAAAAGGGCTCAACAGTTTTGGTATAGAAAAAACCAAAACAATTATGTACATACATACAAAGTTGAAACTTGAAAAGTTGGATTTTTTTTTTCAAAAATACAAAAGAACAGCTGGTGGTTGAAACTCTGAAATCTGAATGATGTAGGATTGTAGGGACTATGTATGTACTATCACACTTTGTATTAGTAGAGCCTGCAGAGGTACTCTCTAGAATAAGGAGTCCTGGGGCCTGGGGCTGGGGGCTGGGCCGCCGGGGAAGCCTGGGAAACCGGATCGCTGATAAAAGCACCTAAAATACTTTATAGGGTGTCCTGAGTCCTGACTGCTAGAGTAAAGAGAGAGAGAGAGAGAGTAGTAGTAGGAGTCTAGGACTAGTACACAATTGTACACTCTAAGCCTCAGCACAGGGAATACTAATAGGCGGCTGGCGCATTGGGAATCTACTTCAATTTCAAGTTACAACCTATATGTCACTAGAATATGTTTATACTAACCAATGGAAATCCATAAAGTAGCCTGCTGATATTTGTTGAACGAAGCACAGTTGGTAAATTCGTCATTGCTTTTCTAAGCTGAAGGCTCTAAGAGTCTTAGCTGGAAAATTATTCGCTGTTATTGGTGATTTCGCTGTTACTGATTTGAGAATTTTATTACTTAATGTATGCTCGCGGAATCTGAACAATTTCAATAAAAGTTCCCAAATTTTGTAAAGAGGAATTTCATTTGGTACTGTATTTTTTATTTATTTTAGTAGAGACGCGAGAGAGAGAGAGGCTATGAGCCTATGACTATGAGTGAGGTTCAAATGAATCAAAGCGCAAAAGCCAGCAGAGTGCAGAGTCACTGCAGACCTTTCTCGTATCTATATTGGCTTATGCTCGACTGCTGGGCCTGGAGCTGGCACCTGTTGCAAGTTGGTAGCTGGCCCCGCCGCTGGGATTGGCTGACTGGCTGAGGGCCCTTGGCCCTGGCGACCTGCCCGGCTCCCGCCTGTGTTTACTTTTATACAGGACCCAAGCGAATAATACTCCTGTCTTCGACTAAATTGAACACAATGCTTCCAGCTATGGATTTTTTCGCGAGACGACATCAAATGATCCGTGATAAATATGCAGCAGCAATGCAACATTCCAGTATCCAGAGAGAGGCCTTGAGAAAAAAAAAAGTCAACAAAGTGTCGCGTCATATTTAGTTATGGCTAAATGTCATCCCAATACAAAGACTGTATCAGTGCATCATGGTACATTTTCTATACAATCTGAATAAATTGGAACAGTACATGCGACAAATCACACACACTGGCAATTCTATACTCGAAACAAGTGTAGTATAGTGATATCTCATACAAAACAATGATGACTGTATTTGGGCAGGAGCCCCTGAATTTACTACCTGCTCTGATTTCCATCATCTTCTCGACACTGAAGTATATAAAGGACACCATATTCCCTACGTATGCGGATTTGAAGGGCGAGATTTGCTTCCTTACGGGTGCGGGTGGTGGTCTAGGAAGGTAAACATGGCTATTGATACTATATACATATACATATATATATATTATATTATCTATACTANATATATATATATTATATA